ACAAATTCGGGTCTCAAAGGGATTGACTTGCCGACGACTTCCACCAGGAGCATGTGTTGGAGCCATGGACTTCGTGTCCGTTTACACATTGTGCCTTGAAAGAAACACATAAGCAAGAAAACCAACGGTAACATCGTGTGTGTTGTGCAATCCCAGAAGAGGACTATCCAGTAGCATTCCGACAACTTGAAGTAAGACTTCAGTAGGCGCGTTCTCTGCCAGCTCACCCAATAGGCGAATGTTAATGCCGCGTCGATGGAGGTAGTCTGTCAGGGATATTGAGTCGTACGGGCCGTAAGGCTCCATTCGCTCCAACTCAGCAATCGCACTGCAACAAGCGTGCCCGCAACACACTAGCGCGGTTCGGTTTTACCTGAATTAAACCCTAAACAACTTGCAGCCCTAGTGAATTGTTTCTCAAGAAAAGGTCCATGCGACACGCAAGCGAAATACCTACTCGTCGAGGATGACAGATTTCACTAGAGTCCCCAGACGCTGGGCCTTCCTCCCAGAGAGCCCACTTCCGCAGACGACAGGCTCGACGTTTCCTCTGTACGAGCGGCTGTANGGGCCTTCCTCCCAGAGAGCCCACTTCCGCAGACGACAGGCTCGACGTTTCCTCTGTACGAGCGGCTGTAAGCGTTGGTAATGAAGTGAACGCTGCATCCGGAGCAAATTTATGCACACACTTACGAGAAGCTGGTACGGGTTGTTTTCTAGAACATGCCGGTCCAAGATATTGCTGGCGTTTCATGGGCCACATCTGCTCAAAAGGCGTATATGTCTTACAGTTCGCCTATCGGGGAGTATAAGCGACTAAAAGGGGACCGGACAATCGCATCCTGATACGCTTGGCCCGGGACAATCGGCTGCACAGCAAACGAAACAAGGAATGCGGCACAAGCATGCCACGCGAGGCATGGAATGGCCCTCTAAAACCGAACAAAGGTAGAGCAATTCACGTTGTACTTTGGATATCTCCGAGGTGGCCCAGGCAAACATCAAATCTTTTCAGTCAGTCCCTTGCCAAGCTGACCTTAGCTGGTGTCTGCTGGGAAATTTGTTGACAATTTTTTAAGGCCATTTCCATGTCGGCGGAATATTCAAAAGGAACAGTTCGGAGACGCTGGGAGATGGAAGGTCGAGAGTCACTTGCTTCCTTCCCAGGAAAAAGGGGTACCGCGTAGCATGTCTGCGGAGACAGCAGGTCAAAAGCGTAAGAATATTGAAAAGTCGGGGGAATATGCAGTCCGGAAGGAGGGTTCAGACTTACCCGGTAGAGCATCATCATGTCAACGCCTCTGTTTTTCACTGACAAGAGGACAGTCACGTCGTGAGGTGGGTTTTCAGGTGAAACTGGTTTCAACAGGTTGCAAATGTTGAGTTTATTTTCGATAAAGGAGACCTCCTGCAGAACAGGAATAAAGAAGTAGCACAGTGCTTTTTTATCTTGGGGCAAACCTATACTGATACAAAGTGCTACTAACTGGGAGTCACAGTGAGGACAAAATGCCGAGCACTTTTAGCGGCTCACGTGGCGAACACGAGAAGATAGAGGCTGAGGCCACTCGACGATTTCTGGTACGGACTCAGGCAGCGGGATTACTACAACTCGAAAACCTTTGTAGTCCACGGCTGTATGGAAAAGCACCCGTACAAGGAAAAGAATGTTTTTCCTTCACGGACGGGCGGACCCGAAAGACCTGGTATGAGTTAACACTAAAAGGGCAAACTAAACATAAATGCCTTCATCCCAACAATGCCAATGCGAGGAGAATAGGTAGCTGCGTGCAAACCAACTTTGAGGCTCACCTGTCATAAGGACTGGAGNTGCCAATGCGAGGAGAATAGGTAGCTGCGTGCAAACCAACTTTGAGGCTCACCTGTCATAAGGACTGGAGTAAGACTCGTCAGTCTTAGATTCTTTGATCCTTCAGCCTGCAATCGTTTGGAACAAATCTTAACAAGGGTGGCAAGTGCATGTTTTACCGTGTTGTGGTGCTATGCGGAATGACCCTGGTAGCTAGAGTAGAGGTTACAAATTCCTGCACCTTTGGGGGGCCTAGCAGCACCGTTCTACTTACAGTGCCCTCAGCGGAATGCCTCTTCAATTCGACGATTGCGTCGTTCATCATCCGCTGCGCCTGAATCTCTACTCCGTAGAGTCTGTGTGCAAATATAATTGACAGCGTAGAACATCCTTCATGTGGCATGTCTCTTCGGTTGCTTCTGTATCGACTACAGTGCGAAGAAAACAACTGAACGGTAGGCTTAGCACGAATCAGCCGAAGGTTGGCAGCACCTTGACCGCCAGTGCCCGTATGGCTGCAAGGGAAAACGAACTTGCTCGCCTCTTCCATGTCGATTTTCTCATCTCCCAAGACGAGAATCGCCAACAAAAGCCCCGAGTGGGACTGACCAATTGCCTGACCGCTAATAAACAGCTGCAGATACCACAAATTGTAACAATTGTAACATTCGCCATCTTGGCATCTAATTGTCACGTACCCACAACAGCACGTTGCGCAGCCCCAGAACACTAGCCAAGCTGGTACTAAACTCTTAGAGCACCAGCACGTCCCCCAGTTTCAGAATAGAGGTAAGAGAGATTGTTTCGTTTTAGGGGGCTCAGGACAATGCAGGCGTCAGCATGGAAGCTGACCTGATCGCGTTTGAACAGGGCGAATATGCGAAGGGGATGCTCTGATGGGAGTCTACGGAAAAGGCACCGTTCTCTCCACTTGTCCAAGCTACTGCGGATTTCGTTAAGGTGAAAATGCCTCACAGGAGGTAGCTGCGGCTTCTCTTCGAGCATCTCCTCTGAGAAGCTTTGCTCAGTATTGGCTTCACCTTGCTGTTGCTTCCTCTCCTGTAGCTGAATGCCTTCTTGGGTCCTGTCGAACGGGAGAGATCCCTGCAAGCATGAAGAGGCAGAAACACCACAGGTGAAGGCGGAATCAAGGGTTACGAGTGCAAACAAAATCAGCTTTAGCCTTTCTCCACCCGCAGCAAAAGCACATCTATGACGTCCAAGCTGAGGTGGCCTTAAATTAGTCGGAACAGCAGGGCCATGGAAGTTTACAATGAGCAGGCATTCCGCAGTAGGCTCGAAGACCACCTCTTCCAAAATCTGTACTGCATACTGGGCTGCATAAAAGGAGTACGTCGACGCGCAGCATACTGCTTGGCATGTGCTGAGAATGCACTTGTGCAAGCGGGCGGTCGTTGCCTGATTGTAGAAACAACGTATACAATCAAATGCTGGACATTTACACCAAAGGACTGCAATGATACCTCAATGCAGCTGCTGTCAGCAAATTGAGTGTCTTCACAAAGAACAGACAGCAGGGGAGGAGACTGCAGCAATGATCGTAATCCTACCAGACAGACGCCCGACGCGGCTGGAGTATCCATGACAACCGCTTTGTCTAAGAGATAGTCGAAAGTATTTGTCGCACATCGGTCCCACCCCAAAAAGCCTGCATTGGCAGCCGTCAAGAGATCAATGAACAGGTGGACAATTACACAGCACGCGTGCCTCAAGACACTCTGGTGCCTCCTCATGCCTCTCTGAAGCCTCACTAGACGCGTATGGCCCGGAGGATCTCACCGGAGGTGCTTGTCCGTTCACGTATGCAGCCATCCATTGCCTTGACAACGGTGTCAGGGCTAAGACAGGGTACTGGGGTCGTCGCAAGGATCCGGTAGGGATGGCTATCCAAGAA